CCACATCCAGCAGATCGGCGCCGTCAGTCTCAACGGGCTGCCGGCCACTCCCATCGCGCCCGCGTCAGGTGAGGCTCCCCCCGCTGGGAGCTCCGGCACTCGCAGGGTCCCCTCAGGGCACGGAATTCTGCAGCTCCAGCTCAGCAGCTGCTGCAGCTCGCTGCTTTCCAGCAGTGCAGCCTCTGCTCTGCACAATTCCTGCAATCCTCTGACAGCCTCACATGTTCAGCACATCCTCCTGCCCTGTGGCTGTGCATTCTTGCTGCAATTTTAGTAAAGAAGGCCTGGGTTCCCAGCATTGCACTTGGCTGTTCGTGATCCTCACCCCACAGCAATAATCAATGTTGGGTTCAACCCTGTCAGAGCAGGCTCATGTCCTTCCAGGTGCTGAGCAAGCCCAGATCAGAGATGTTCCCCCACCCAAAGCTCTGACAGCACTCAGTTCTTCTCACACTCCTCCCACTTTCATTTAGCTCACACTCTTCCTGCCTCTTCATTTAGTGAAGGCTCCAGCACCAGTCTGTCATCTCCATGTGCCAAATACAAGAGTTAATGGCTTCAGACACAGCAGTGTTGGCAGCAGGGGCTCTGTGGGACCTTGATTTCATGGGCTGTCCTCTGTTCTTGTTCTGCAGGGCTACATTCACCACCTCTCCTGGGCACAGCAGCCATGCCAGGCCTGGTGGCTCCCATTTCCAATGGATTCACTGGAGTGGTACCATTCCCAAATGGGCATCCAACCTTGGAAACAGTTTACACCAATGGCCTTGTGCCATATTCAGGTACTGAGAGCAATAAAAAACCCACCTGAGGAACTGCAGTTAGCTCCTCTTTTCTGCATTCCCCACACTTTTGTAGCTCCTTCCCACCCGGGGTGAGGGTGGGAAACAACACAACACACAAACACACAGAATGCATGAATGATTCCTTTGCTGTTTTCCTTTCCTTTCCTTTCCTGATTGTGTTTTTCTCTGCAGCCCAGAGCCCTTCAGTAGCAGAGACTTTGCACCCAGCCTTCACAGGAGTTCAGCAGTATGCAGGTACCAGCTTCCCTTGTCTCCCTCAGCCCTTTGTGTGGCTGACCAGATCCTCAGGTAAATGCTTTGTTCTGTCTCCTTGGGCTACAGCTGTGTATCCAACCACCACCATCACCCCCATTGCACAGAGCATCCCCCAGCAGCCTCCCATCCTGCAGCAGCAGCAGAGAGAAGGTGAGGATCACCCTGGGAATGGGGTGGCCAGAGGTGTGGGTGGGATTTGTGGAGTTCATCTGCTGCCCAACAGAGCCAGTGGAGAGGAGGTAGCACTGATTTTTGTGCACTGATATTTAATGCTGGAGCTGGGGTATGGAAACAACAGCACGTCTGCAGTGAGTGGGAAGGATCACAGGATGTTTCCTGGCCTCACATCTGGCCAGGTGCAGAGGGGCAGGAGGCCCTGGAACACCTTTCACACCAAAGGGGATGGGAATCAGCACCTTCCCCTTGCAAAGAGCAGGGACAGGCTCAAAGAGAACCTTCCCTGTGCAGAGCACTCATCCCCTCTTTGCTGTGCCAGAGCCACAGTGCAGCCAGTCAGAGCAGCCTCTGCAATGTGCTCTCCTCTCTTCAGCCTCCACAGCTTACTGAGTTTATTTTCAACTTCAAAACTGGCTTGAATACAATTTGGAGGCAAAGGCATTGTCTCTCTGCACCTGGTTGGTAGAGCAAGTGTCAGCAAGGAAGCAGCAAGTGAAGGAGTGAACAGCACCAGGTCCATCAATTGGGAGTGTGGCAATCCAGAGGTTTCCAGTTAAGGCTGTGGCCTCTGGGCTGAAGGCAGTGCTGCAGCAGCAGTGTCTGCCACTCTCCAAGGACTGGGACAGCTCTGAGCTCTCACCTCAGCTGATTTCCTTCCAGCAAAACAGCACCCAGACACTCACAGAGTTCCTACACCCTGTGAGTTCCTACACCCTGTGTAGGAGCTGGGCAAGCTTTGGAAGAGAATCTGCTCTCCAGAAACTCTAGTTTTGTATAGAGTCTCCCAGTTTTTGTATAGAGTCTCCCAGTTGCTCTTTGAGAGCCCTCAGATCCCTGGATGGACCAGTGGCAGGGACAAGCAAGGGGAGGTCAGAGCAGAGGGAGGCAGTGCTTGGGCTCTCCTCCAGTGCTGAGCTGTGAGTTGAGCCCATTTCTCTTCCCCTGCCCTTTGGGGGCTTTCTGTTTTGTCCTCCTCCATCACCCCATACCTGCAGGTCCTGAAGGCTGCAATCTCTTCATCTACCATCTCCCCCAGGAGTTTGGAGACAACGAGCTGATGCAGATGTTCCTGCCCTTTGGCAATATCATCTCCTCAAAGGTGTTCATGGACCGTGCCACCAACCAGAGCAAGTGTTTTGGTAAGTGCAGGCAGGGGAAGCATGATCAGTGACAATGACACACTGGGCATGGCACCAGCAGTGCCACTGTCACCCATCCTGTGTCCTTCCTTCAGGTTTTGTGAGCTTTGACAACCCATCCAGTGCACAGACTGCAATCCAGGCCATGAATGGCTTCCAGATTGGCATGAAACGCTTGAAGGTGCAGCTAAAACGGCCCAAGGATGCCAACCACCCCTACTGACAGCAGGGAGCCAGCAGGAGTCACTTCTGCAGCACAGGTACAGTGTCCCCAGCAGGGCACAGCTCTGCCAGGCTCCAGCTGCTCCCTGCAGGGTGGGAGGCCAGGAGTGGAGGCAGTGACAGCTGGTACAGGGTGAGCAGAGCAGGCCTGGAGATGATGGCCAGGTTCAGCAATCATCAAAACAATCATCAATCAGGGAAATCTGTGGCTGTGGGGCAAGCCCAAAGCCAGGCCAGGAAGGTGAACAGGATCAGAGTTCAGTGATTGCCAGGCAGGTCTGTAATGACCATAATTAATAAACATGGAGGTGGGAAGGCAGTGCAGGGGTTGGAGCCCGGGTGATGAGATCCATGGGCAGCACAGGCCCTTGGGCAGGTGGGACTGGCACTTCCACAGTGTCAGACAGAGGGTGAAGGCACAGGGCTCTGAGGAGACTCCTGGAGCTGTGGGCAGTGTGGACAGACAGACACTGGTGGGGCTGGTCCAGTTCATCAAGGCCTGTGAGTGCCCTGACAGGCAGATGGTTCCATTGCCCTGTTTGTGCTCTAAGCAAGGTTTTTCTGTGCTGTCCAACTGCTCCCAAAAAGCTTTTGACTGCCTAAAAAGGTATTAAACCCCAGTAGTTAGTCTGCAAACTGTGCTTTCTGGGGTGAGAAGAGACAATCCCATGCTTCACAGGGATCACAGAAAAGCAGAGAAAAGGTGAGAACTCTTGGGCTGCTGTCCAAGAGCCAGCTCCTGCCAGCCTGCAGAGGGGGAGCAGGGGAGGGCTGATCTGATCTGATCTGGGTCAGAGCCCTCCGTGTTTAAGCAGCAGCTCAAAGCCTGAGGTTTGCACAGATGCCCTCCTAATCTCCCAATTCCCTCCCTCCTCCATTTCTGTTCAGGTGAAGGGAAAGTCCAGAGGAAGAATTTCTGCTTCAGGTTGATTTTCAGAGAGGCCAGTAAATTTATCGACTCTTTTGACACCACCCCTTTCCTTCCTCGGCTTCCCACCTTTCCCACCCCATCTTCCTCCTCCCCTCCTCTCCAAGACATGCAATTAAAGAGAAGGCTCAATATCTGCCCAGGAGGAAGATTCTTGCCACGCCTGGACTCGCATATTTGCTGCTAACGTGGTGCAAAGCAAAGGGACCAGCAAACCAGCAGCCCCTGGGGCACGGAGCTCTTCCTCGGGGTGTGGCTGGAGAACATGGACCAAGCAAACCCATGGTGTGTCTCTAGGTTACTGCAGTGATGTGTGGAAATTTATTTCCCTCCCTCCCTCCCTCCTGCTCTGTTTCTGGCCCTTTCATAGATAACTATAAATATATACAGTCTCTATTTTTTTTTTAAACTAGCTCACAGGACCAAACTTTTCCATTCAGAGAGTGACTGCTTGCAAGAGGTGTTGGAAATTGAGGGGTTTGCCTTTGCAACAGTGTCTTCTCAGCATGCACTGCAGACAGGCCTGAACATTTTGGAGAGAGGGAGCTGGGGGTGGGTTGGGGAGAGAAAAAGAGAGAGAGAGAGAGAGGGAGAGGGAGAGGGAGAGCACATCTCTGCTCAGCATGAGCAAAAAGGAGAAATACATTCCTGCAGGATTAGGGCACAGTCAGCTGCTCAGCTTGAGTCACTCACCCACCTTAGCACCAGCCTGGTTCAGGATCTGGAGAGCTCTGTGCTGCCTTTCCAAGGGCTCCTGCAGACCAAGCTCCTGGGATGTGGTGGCAGCCCCTGCCCTGAGCTCTGTGATCGGGCTGAAAGCACAGAGAGGAGCTGCGCTGCCTCCCCACACACGGCACCGATCGCGGTGCTCAGCTCTCCATGGCAACTGCATTTTCCTGGTGCAGGCGGGAGCAGATGCAGGGAGGCTCCCGGGGCTGCACACTGCCTCCCTGTGTCCGATACCAGCACTGGGCACTGGGCACGGTCCTTCCAGGTGACACAGGACCTTTTCTCCCTCTGAATTCAGCAGCTTTCCCCAGCAGATGCAAGGAAAACAGGATGAAAGAGGGTTCCATTCTGGGATTTCCCCCCAGCACCCCCTCCAAGAGACAGATTTTACATTATGCAGCATATACATATATATATATACACACATATATATATGTAGGGACAGCTCTGCACACTAGATACACAACTCTAAAGCACAGAATGTAGTTCAGAACTGGATTTTAAAAAGATCCCCTGGGAGTGGGGGGTGTGTGTCATCCTGCCAAGACACATCCCTGCAACACTTTGGAACAGTCTCTTCAAGTTTCTACAAAAGAAAGGAAAGGAAAGGAAAGCAAGGCAGAACAGACCAACAAACCCCAGAGTGATAAGGAATGAACGATTTCAATAGTCAGAGTTTGATAAGGTACCACAAACATTGTGTTTGTGTGAGGGTGTGTGAGCACATTGAAATAGGGACAAGAGAGTTGGTGGGGCAGAGTTGGTGCAATTGATACTGAAGTGAGCTATGGGGATTTTGGAGAATCTCGGCCAACTCTCATTCTCCTCCAGTTTGCCCTTTGTTCAGGTGTTTGTGGCACAGTCCTTTAAGTACCTTCAGATCTCCTCAACCACCCTTCTGTGTCTGATGCTGAGAGTTTATGAGAGGTGAATGAAGCTGTGAGAGTCTGTGTTTTCTATAGTCCATGTTTACTTATTGTAAATACCATTTTTATACTTAACATCTATTATGTATGTGATTTGTATAATGTACTTTATTTCTGCTACAAGTAATTTCATGAAGTTTAAACTTAGTCTAATTTTGAACAAAACAAAAAAAAAAAAAGAAAAAATATGAACAAATGCAAAATGGGAAAAAAAAAGGACTTTGGGAATCCTAGATCAAGCTGGTTTAAAACAAGCATTTACAGTTTCTTCCATCACAGTTACTGATGTGACTGTACAATGTTACAGGTGCGATACAAGCTTTGTCAATGTCAAATTCCTCACTCTGGTCAAAAAAAAAAATCCTAAATTTATTTAATAAAAGTTTTACTTGCTAAGTAACTGGGGCTCTAATTCCTGTTGTTGTTAGGTAGTGCTTACACTTGAAGACATTGCCAAAGCCCTGGGCTAATTTAACAGTTCACATGGGGTCAGCAAACAGCCCTTGGCCCACAGAACCCAGGGGAGCAATATTTCATCACAGAGGAAGCATCAACACATAACACCAAGACATTAAAAACTTGTTTAATTAAAATAGAGATAAAAAATTGTACTTAGAGGAAGCAAGAGGGTTCATGGTATCCAAAATGAGGTGCAGCCATGCCAGGACATCCTGTGCAGACACACAGGGGTTAAACTGGGGCTGAGCAAAGACTGGGTGCAGTCAGAGCACACAGGTGAGGCTGAAGGAGGAGGGAGATGGGAGGAAGGCCTCTGACTGATGGGTGGCAGCAGCAGAACCATGGCTCAAGGAGGATGACACACCATGAGTCACGTTAGGAAAATGGGATTTTGCCAGCACTGCTGCCCTGCTCCTGACTGACAGCAGTGCTNTCCAGCCAAGCTCATGGTGGTGCTTGTGGCCATCAATACCCGGGGTGTTCCTGGCTGCAGCATCGCCTGCTGAGCACAGCCAGGGATTTGTGCATGCTTAGGCAGCTGTGTGAGGCTCAGGGTGTGAGAGGGAAGGGTTGGATGGACAGACAGACGGGGAAAGGCACAGCCCAGGTTCCAGGCAGCTCCCCAGCACTTCCACACCAATATTTGCTCTTCTGCTCCTCTTCCCACTCCTCTCTGCTGCCTGTCCTGCCCCGTCCTCCCTTGCCTGACCGCTCTGGCTGTCCCACGCCTCTTCCTTCTCTCCTGCCTCCTCTGTCTCCTCTCTCTGTGCCTAGGGTGCCTCCTCCAGTCTAGTGGTGAAGTTTGCTGACACAGATAAGGAGAGGACCCTGCGCCGTATGCAGCAAATGGTGGGGCAGCTGGGCATTCTCACTCCATCTCTCTCCCTGCCGTTCAGCCCATACAGCGCCTATGCGCAGGCTGTGAGTATCCACGGGGGAAGGGGGGATTGCAGCCCCTGGGAGAGCTCCCCAACAGCTGGCTGCCTCCTTGCAGCACTCACTGCCTCCTTTCAGCACTCAGCTGCCTCGTCTTGCAGAGTTTCTGTGTGGTTTTTCTGCTGGAAATGGAGGGAGGGGCAAGGGAACAGCAAAGGTGTTGTTGTGGTTTGGAAAGGCAGGAGTCTGCTAAGGAAGGCAGGAGCCTCCCCTGAAATGGAAAATGTAAACCCTCCCTATCACTCTGAATTGCTGTAAATTTTAAATTAAGGGGCTCTCAGGTAAAAAATATGGGAGCAGGAAATAACAGTTCTTTAATAGGGAAGAGAAAAAAAAAGGGATTAAATAAACAATGCAGTACACTAGAACAACACTGCCAGAGTCAGAACCCAACCTGACACCTGTGGGTCAGGGTGTTGGTGGCAGTCCCATTGGAATTGTGGCTGCAGCCCTCCTGCAGTGTCAGGAGCAGGGATCCTATAGAGAAGGATGGATTCTTCCTCTGAAGATGCAGTGGAAGGAGAGGCAGCTGCTGTTCCTCTGGGGAATCAGGGGGAGAAAGCCATGCTGGTGTTCCAGAATCCCCAGATTATATCCAGGCAGGAATGCTTGGCTGGGGTTACAGAATCTCCAGATTATATCCAGGCAGGAATGCTTGGCTCCTCCCTCTGGGCTCACATCTCCCAATGGGATGCTGTAGCTCTTATCAGCCATGCAGGGACATTCCATAGCTGTTATCAGCAGGTGTCCCCTCCCCAGGGAGGTGTGATTGTGGTCCTCAGAGAGAGATAAGGCAAACTGCCCACTTGACAAAAGACAACTGCCATACAGATGGCAATAAAATACATCTTGCCTTGCAATCTGGAACAGGTGTGAAGCCTGGGATCTCTCCTCCAGAAGGGAGAGCAAAGATGGGGATGGCACAAGAGGAGAGTCAGTGTGAGGTCAGTGCTTAAGGAAAAAAAATGGGAGAACCAAACCCAGTGGAAAGTAAAAGGAAAGGAAGGAAAAAAATCCCCAAGAAGTGGGAGACAGGCTGAGCCTTGAGTTAAGGGGAAAGCCAAAACAGAGTCACAGAGCAGGAAGGCTGCTTGGGAGGGCTGCTCAAAGTGAGCCTGGGATTTCTCTGATGTTGTTGGAGGTGTTGGGGCAGGTCAGTCATGACCCATTTCCTTTGTGGCTTGTTATGAGGAGAGCTCAGAGCGTTGGTTCCTGCAGTACCAGCCTGTGAACCCTTCCTCTGTGTGACACAAATGTGTGTCTGGGTTTGGAGCAGCAGGAGAGCTCTGGCACCCAGCTTCAGGAGTTCATTTCTCTGCTGAAATTCCCTGGAAGTTCCTCAGTGCTGTCCTTGCTCCCGGGTTCTCTCACTTGGCCAGTGGGAGTTTGGAAGGGGCTGCAGAGAGCCAGAGGTGTTTCAGCAGCCTGGCTGTGCTCTGGGGTTTAGTGAGAGACCTTCCTTGCCCTGGAGGATGGTGGCAGTGGCCATTGATAGGTCCCAAACTCAGCAAGTCCCAGATCTGCTGTGCTGGAGCATCGTCTGAGCCTCCTTGGTGACTGTCACCTTCAGGTCTCTGCTGCCAAGGGTAAAGCCCATGGGAGGAGGCTCAGAAATTGCTCAAGGAATGAGAGATTCTTGTGCTGACAAAGGAGTCAAAAGTAGATATTGTTACTGAAAGTAATTTCCTAGGGGGAAGTGCAAATAAACCTGGTTTTGTGTTTGTGGACACCTCTGCCTTCAGCAGCTCCTTGCTGTGCCTTCCTTTCATTCACATGGCAGAGGAGGAGCTGCTTCTCAATTGTTGGCTCAATCCTCAAAGATTCCCCAAAAACTGCCAAATGCATTTTAAGTGTGTGGCAAGAGTATGGATGAGATAAAAAGGAAATGCATATGAGGCTCTACAACTTTGGGGAAATTCTCAAGCCAAACAAAGAACTGATCCAACTCAGATTATTTGAAGAGCCCTTTGTGACCAGGCACCACCTTTTGCCAGGATCCTTTTCTGTGCAGCCAGGAGCCAGCTGCAGCTGAGGGCAGAGCTGTGGCCACCATGAGATGATGATCCTGGTGTCCATGTGGGCATGGTGTGGTGCTGAGGGCAGGGAGGGAGCACACAGTGAGGGTTTGGTGCCAGGAGCTGCTTTATGAGCCTGAGCTCCAGGCTGTGAAAGGAGCAAGAGCAGTGAGAGCTTCCAGACTCACCAACCCTGCTGATGCCAAGTCAGGTCTGAGCTTTGCCTTCTTCCTTATCTGCATCTTCTTTCTCCTCAGCTGTGGCTGTTGCTGTGTTTCTCTCTGATTCTTCACTGGCCTTCCCTCTCTGCCTCTGTTTTGGCTTTCCCCTTGACTCAAGGCTCAGCCTGTCTCCCACTTTTTTAGGATTTTTTCCTTCTTTTCCTTTTACTTTCCACTGGGTTTGGTTCTGTTTTTTTCCCTGAGGCACTGACCTCACACCTGATTCCTTCTTTTCTTGTGCCATCCCCATCTTTGCTCTCCTTTTTGGAGGAGAGATCCCAGCCAGTCCTCACACACCATCAGAGGGAGAGGGAATCAGCCCCTTGAATTCCACCTGACATCTCTGAAAGTGGGGGCTAAAATAGAGGAATTTCCATGCAGAATCTCCTTATGGTTCCTCAAAATGCTCTGCCATGGGCAGAGCTGGGACCTCTGGTGAGGGAGAAACCCAAAATCCTTCATGCTTTCCTCATTCTGGGTTTGGAGGAGTAAATGCTGCACCCAGGGTCCCTCCAGGGCTGGGAGATGCAGCTGAGAATTCTGGATTTTGACAGTTCTGGATTCTGAGCATTCTGAAATTCTGCATTTTGACCATTCTGCATTCTGACAATTTTGAATTCTGACCCTTCTGACCATTCTGAACCACACTGACAGGAGCAAGAGCTGCTGGGGTGAGCTGGTGCATCAGAGGCATCACAGTTCTTGTAGCCATAATTTCATATACAACAATTTCTTGTGGCCATAATTTCATCCCCAGCAGTTTCCTCTCCCTGAGTTACCAAACCAAAGTGGTCCCCAAAGGTTTAGGAAGAAATTTGGAGCTTGGGTTTATTTTTGTTTTGTTTTCAGTTGTCTGTTTTAAATTTATATTGATAACTTTATTCTTCAAAATCTATCTCAAACGTGAAATAATCATACACTAAGTTTAGTCTGAAGTTATTCAGATCTATGCAAATATGTAAAATAAGGGGCTTAAAATGGCAAACAGTGCATGTGAGCTGAAACTGTATGGAAAAGTCTCATTGGGAAGTACAACTGGCCAAGCATCTGAAATCAGTTTATTTCAGTGCTTAAATCAGGTTTTGATCCCAAAAAATGATCATTTGCTTCTGCAAATGAGTTCATTTTATTCAGCAACTTAGTTCAGGTGGACTCAGGGAAAAGTTTGGGAGCTGAAAAAAAATTTATCAATAAAAAAGAGGCCTGAAGTCTTAAAAAAGAAACTATAGCAATTTACTAAGTGCTAATAATGCTTGAATATTTCTTGTCTATCATAAATCAATTAGTTCCAAACACAAACCATAATTTGTTCACACCTCCCCTCCTTTTATTTCTGCTCTTATGGTTCATTATGATAATTTTATGTAAGTGATGAGAACAATTCCAGAGTGGCAATTTGGTGCTGCTGTAGCCTTGGTCCAGCCAGAGCGTGGCACAGAAATGAGAAAAAAGATCAATATTCCCATAGTGAGTGGGAAATTTATATATATATATATATATATAGAAGATGGAGGGAGAGACCCAACTTCCTTGTTCAGCATCGACTCCGTTTATTCACTCAATCAATCACTTTTTATAACCGTGTTAATTAAGTTCATGCATATTGCAAACCCGAGCTCACAATAGGTCAGAGATAACACACCAACTCCTCCTTATGTTTCCAATACCAAGATTTGGGTCCTCAAAATTATTTTTGCTTTCCCAAAACAGCCAAAGACAGAACATCTACTTGTTATGAGAAAGCTGCCTGAGAACTCTCATATGCAAGGTTCTCAAGGCCTTCATGTTTGTCACTTTTACTTGTAATTAAAAACAACCTGAGAACTTCTGCTGTTTACAGAAACAGGCTGTGAGAATTTTACTCCTCACAGCTGCCTTCTAAGCTATTTCTGAAAAAATCTCCAACATATATATATATATATATCCCTCTTGTCTTTGTGCTGAAGCCACGATCAGCTGCTGGGTGAGGAGATGGGCAGGTTTAGTTGGCCACAAACCTCTCAGAGTTAGCAGATCCTCCTGCCTTACTGAGCAGGGTGGGTTCCAGGAGAGCTCTGTGCTTGTGTGGCAATGTCAGGAAGATTTTTTTGGTGTTTCCTTGGGTTTTGCCCCCTCAGCTCCTCGTGAGGAGCTCAGGTTTCCTGAGAGCCTTGAGGGCCTCCCCTGCTCTTGTTGCTTGGTGTGAGGACAGAGCTGATAAAGGGCTGGATAATTTTGCATCCAGAGCTCAGCCATTTTTGCCACTGCACTCTGAGGGCATCTTGTGCTCCCACTGATGGTCAGATAGAACCAGAAGGATTTTTTTCTTCTCTTAACCCTCCTCCCACCCTTCCTTCTGTACTGTGCATCCCCACCTTGGCATGAGGAGCTGATGTCCCCTGGCCCCAGNCTGAGCAGCACTTTGCCCCTGCAAGGCACCGGGCACGGGGTCACACACCTGACCCCACAGCGAACACCCCCTGGGTGTGCCCAGGCAGGTGCACTCTCCCCACACCCCCTCAGAGCTGCTGTGCATTGTTTTGCACGTTTTCAAGAAGAGATTGCAGACAAACACACACCTGGTGTGCTCCAGCGCCGAGTCAGTGTCAATCAGGCCCAGGATGCACAGGGTGACCGACACATCCCTGCTCTGCATGATGAGCTCGTGGCGCAGCGAGCTGAAGAATCCATCCAGGGCAAACTTGGTGGCAGAGTAGGAAGTGGTGAAGGGAGTGGGCATTTTCCCTGGAAAGGGAGAAGAGAGAATGGAAAACCCCAGGAAAATGGGTGTAAGGAGGATCCATGGAGAAGGAATCTGGGAAAAGATGGAGGCTTTGTCAAACTGTATCTCAACTCCTGTTCAGGTGAGTCTGCCTTTCTGTAAGGATATTAAAATACATATTACTGTAGTCATATATATTACTATATTATTAAATATATATATTTTATATATATTTAATAATATAGTAATATATATTATATATTATATATTATATATTATATATTATATATATTAATATATATAATATAGTAATATATTATATATATACATACATATACACATACATATATATACATACATATATAATAATATATTTTATATATAATATATATAATATATATAATATAGTAATATATATTATATATATAGTAAAATACATATTACTGTAGTAATATATATTACTATATTATTAAATATATATTTAATAATATAGCAATATATATAATATATTATATTCTATATAGTAATATATATAATATAGTATATATATTATATATACACATATATATACATATGTATATATACATATACACATACATATACATATGTATATATATACATACATGTATATAATAATATATATAATATAGTAAAATATATACTACTATAGTAATAATATATTACTATATTATTATCTATTTATTATAATATTATTATATACTATGAAAAGCACAATTTGAAAATGCTTAGGAGTTGAACAACAGAGAAATATGAACAGCATTGGGAATCATTGTTTCCACAAGGCCAGCACTTATTCCAGGTAAAGTCACCAACCTGTGAGGGAAGAAACAACCACCAGAGCACCTCTGTTCTTCTCCAGGGTGGGAAGAGCTGCTGTTGCAAGAGCCACATAACTCAAAAAATTCACCTGGAATGATAAATGTAGACATGGAGGAAGCAAGAGGGTTTGGAAGCATGAGCCAAGAAAGTCAATAGAGTGGTCAGAAATGGAAAGGAGCGTGGTTTGGAATTGCATTTTCAAACATCAAGTGAGAGAAATCATCTCTAAGGATGGGGGCAAACTTTGCATCCCTGAGTCTTTCAGATTCCAGAAAAAGCAGTGAAGAAGATCCAGAGCAAAGCTCACTCCTGGGCTTTAACATACAGATTTCCTAACAAGATACAACTGGCTGTCCCTGCTTTTTCTTTATGCTTTTCTTTACTCTGCAATCCCTGTCAAAGACAGCACTCTCAGTTTGCTCCCCTTCTAAGTTTCTCCTGACTGAGCTCAGACTATGAGGCACAAAATTCAGCATCTCTTCAGAGCTTGACTGCTCTCTTAGATTATATTAATGTCTTCCCTATGTTCCTAAGTTCCCACTCTCCTCAACCTGACCTGCCACACAGACTTCGGCAGGTCAGAGAAAGAATTTTATAGATAAGAAACACTAAACAGCCTCGAGAACAAAACCAGAAGAGTTCTGACTCCTTCTTTGACTGTCAGGCTGGGAAAAGAAACTTTCTAATGCATCTTGGGATCACTCTGAGCAGCAGAAGTCCCAAAATCCCAGGAGAAGCCAGGCTGTCCTGGGGAGTAGGGAGAATTGCAGGGGAGCTGGGAAGTTCAGGGGACTCAGGAAGTTCAGGGGAGCTGGGAAGTTCAGGGGAGCTGGGAAGCTGCAGGGAAGATAAGGAGCCTCACCTGCAGGGGAGCTGGGAAGTTGAGGGGACCCAGGAAGTTCAAGGGAGCTGGGAAGTTGCTGGGAAGCTCAGGGGACCCAGGAAGTTGAGGGGACCCAGGGAGCCTCACCTGCAGGGGAGCTGGGGAGCTCAGGGGACCCAGGAAGTTCAAGGGAGCTGGGAAGTTGTAGGGGAGCTGGGAAGCTCAGGGGAGCTGGGGAGCCTCACCTGCAGGGGAGGTGGGAAGTTGAAGGGGAGGTGGGAAGCTCAGGGGAGCTGGGAAGCTGAGGGGACCCAGGAAATTCAGGGGAGCTGGGAAGTTGAGGGGACCCAGGAAGTTCAGGGGACCCGGGAAGCCTCACCTGCAGGGGAGCTGGGAAGTTCAGGGGACCCAGAAAGTTCAAAGGAGCTGGGAAGTTGCAGGGGAGCTGGGAAGCTCAGGGGACCCAGGAAATTCAGGGGAGCTGGGAAGTTCACGGGACCCAGGAAGTTCAGGGGAGGTGGGGAGCTGCAGGGGACCCAGGAAGTTGCAGGGGACCCAGGGAGCTCAGGGGAGCCAGGGAGCCTCACCTGCAGGAGCCAGCGCGTGTACTCCACATCCCCAGCCCACTCCTGGAAGCGGTTGGTGCCGATGTGGTTCAGCACCAGGTAATCCAGGCCCCCTTGGAGAGCAGAAAGAGCAGTGACACAAAGGACCCATCCCTGAGCATCAGCCAGGGAGCTCAGGAATGCCAGGAGGGCTCCAACACTCCCTCAGAAGGATGGAAGTGCTTTACCATGAAGAGAGGTTAAATTTGCTCATCTGGGGCAGCTTTGGCTGCTTCTCAGGGGTAGAACTGAAAGGAAAACTGTTTGACTTTGACAATAACTCCCTGAAATGATGTTTCAGCATGATTCAGGAGCAGAACTTAGCTCTGTTGTACATCTATGTCCTTAACACCATTCTCAGTTCAGGGAACTGAAGCAGGAAGCTCCTGCTAGAATGAGAACTGGGCACACACCTGAAAGCCAGAGATGCTCAGGATGCTTACCCAGCTTTTGGACAGCAAACTGCACCACCCTCTCAGGCTCTGAAGGGGAAGACATATCTGCAGGGATGTAAAATATTTTCTTTGCTCCAAGTGTCAGGCATTTCTCCATTACCTTGAAAAGAACACACCCCAAAGATTAAAGTATTTGAAAAAAGAGTAGGGCAAAAGGGCACTATAAAGCACAAACTACAGTTAGTGAGAGTCAGTTCTGGACAGAGACACTTTAAATTAAAGTTTATTGCTGTTTGGGCCATGGAGAACTCATTCTGCATCCAGACTGAATCTGCATCCTGCAAAGAGTTACCTCTATTTAACTGTCTGCTTAAATGATCTACCTGGGACAGGATCAAATTCACTGGAAAAAATCCCCAATCTTCTTCAGGAGAAATCTTCTGGAACGAGGGGTATGCTTTACATTAAATTCTTCTCTTTTTCCAAAATAACTGGAAAAGAATTCATCTTTCATAATTCCTTTGCTATGTTGAGTGTGTGAATGTGCCTGACAATGATATGCAGTTTTGAAATAATGCCTTCCAGTCATTAGGAGCTATTATTGTGCTCACTGTCCCCAGCTCACCTTTGGCACCATTTCACAGTGAAGAACTTTCCTTGGAAGTCACAAATCCCCACAATTAAAGAGTTCCCCTCTCTAAATATTGCCCCATTTCATAAAGATGAAGAAGTCTCATCTGTTGGAGTTGGTGAAAAGGCATTTAACCTACAAAAAGTCTTGAGTTTTTAACAAAACAGCTACAAATAGAACAATTTGGACTCTGAAAAGTTGCACAATATTTTTTGGACATTTTCTTAATGTCCAGCCTGAATTTATCCCTGATGCAGCTTCACACCATCCCCTCATATAAATAAATGTTCAGGCAGTTAAAAGCTCAGGCACTGAATTTGCATCTTCTTCTCTTCTGGGTCCATGCTTGACAGTTCTGAAGGAAAATCTACATGCTGACAACTCATTTTTTTGTTGGTTTGGTAAAAGCCTGAGTCTCTCATGTGCTCCCCCATACAAGGATGAGGTTCTCACCTTCTGCAGCACAGCTTCCCTCCTGGCAGTCACCACAATCTCAGCACCAAACCTGGCATAGTGATATGCTATCTGCTCTCCAATCCCAGCACTGGCTCCAGTCACGAGAACACGGGCACCAGACAGGCTCTCTTTTTATGGGAAAGAGAATAAAATATACAGAATTAAGTGAAGAAGCAGCAGAGGAGCTGCCCTTAACTGCTGGCAGAGCTTTAAAGAAGAAAGATGCACCTGAGTGCTCAAAATTCTTGGTGCTTCTCCACAACTAGAAGAAGCAGGACTGGTGATGCAATGACATGATGATGCCAGCTAGCTGTGTCACAGGGTCTAGATTTTGGTTGCTAGACCAAAATCTTTCAAAAGCCAAGTTGGTTTTCACCTTCTGAGAAGCTTACAACAGAAACCAGGCTGTGCATCTTATGCAAATCATTTTTTTGCCATCAGTCTGGAGGCACATCAGCCCTCTTGTGCCAGGCACTGCACACCTCCAGAGATGGTTCTTGAATTTGTAACAAGGAATTTACAACCAAAACATAAAAAGAGCAAGGCAGTAGCAAAGTGCCATTCCCCTCCCCCCCCCGACAGAGACAGCAGGATCCCTGCTCTTAGATAATTTCATCTTCCTCTTTGTTTCAAGTTTCTCTTTGTTTCTGGGAATGAAACATTGCCTTTGGGTCACCAACTCTAGTACAACTACAGGCAGGAATGAGACCATCAAAGTTTGGAAATTCAACCTCTTCCCTTGTGTGACTTACATTTCAGCTTGAAATCCTCCCCCTGGCGAGCCTACCTGGGTTAAAGTCGTCTTTCCAGAAGAAAGCTACGAGCCCAGCTACAACCCCTGTAGCACAAAGCACTTTTCCAATTGGCTTCATATCCCTCCAAGCTGTGAGGAACAAAGTGAAGTCTTGAAGCTGAGCACTTCAGCCAAAATAACACCGTGTTCTCCTTCCTCTGATGCCTGGAGCCAGCCTGGGAGAGGCTTTTGTAGAACCGAAAGCCCACCTGAAGTGTCTTTCCCCTGAGAGCCACAGCCACCTTGGTCAAGAATAAAAAGGATTTTTCACTGGCAATTCCCACAGCCCTCTGCACTCAGAGCCTACAGGAGGAAAAAAACCCTTCGTGTCTAATCTTAGAGAGCTCTTAATTCATTAAAGACTAACGACAGCTGGCAGCAGTGACCCCAAAGCAGCGGGATCTCGGCAGGGAGGCGGCGGCAGAGCCCACAGGACGGAGCCGTGTCTGGATAGGAAGAGCAGCGGGATGAGCTGCTCCGCCACCACGCTGCGACACAGCGCGACAAAACACAGAGCGGCGGGGNGTGAAGGTAACTGAGATAAATAGGGGTGGGTCAAGAGCCCAAGAGGAGCCCCTGAGAAGAGAGAAAGGACTGTGCTGCAGAGAAAGGAGAAGAGCCCCAGCAGAGAGGGAAGAACAACACTGCAGCGAAGATTACAACACCAACCTGTCTATTGAGTGCTCCTGGTACCGGCCACGGTCCCTGTGGTCGAAGTCATGGAAGCGATCCTGGCGGCTGAAGTCGGAGTGGTACCTGTCATTCATGGCCATTCGTTTTGCCTCTGGCCAGTATGGATCATCCCTCCTGGAACAAACAACAGACTCATTTCAGCCCACAGAATAACTGCCTGTGGCTGCATTTCTCTCCACAGAGAAAAGCAAGGCACAACTTCCCAAGGATATTTTCTGGGAATCGCAGCGAGGAACCTCAGAGAAAGAAATAACAATTCTTATCTCAATTGCTGCTCCTCGTGTTGTGCACAAGTGGAATTCTCTGTCCCAAGAGAGTTTACCTGAAGGGAATTGGTAATTGGATTTTGGTGTGTTTGGATTCATTGACCAACTGAATCCGTGTGTGTGTCAGGACTGTTGGCTGACAGTCATGAGATTTGTGAGTGCTTGTGCAGATTCAGTCTAGATGTAGTGAAATACAGTATCATAAAGTAGTTAATTAGCCTTCTGATATCAATGGAGTCAGATGTGTCATTTCTCCCTGCCACAAGGGTATCTTTGATATTCAATAAATGCCTTTTGATATTGTTCCTCCTCCCAGATCAAAAGAAGGGAAATTAAGTTCAAAAGGGCATTGAAAAAAAACTGAGCTATTAAACACAACCATCTCAATGCAACAACAACTGCTGAGAGCACTTGTATGGCTTTTTCCAGTCCAGGCAGATGAGACAGAACCTGGCAGTGACATTTCCCACTGGCCCCATCAGGATTTGGTGGCTTTACCTGTTGTAGTGTGTTTTTATACTTTGTAATAGTTTTATTTTTGTATCCCTGTATTTTTCCCAAATGGTTTACACCAGATTGTACCCCCTCCCTTTACCTGTGTAATCCCTTCCCTTTGCTGAGATCATCCCCAAATCCCCACCCTGGCTCTGTGTCACTCACTCAGCATCCCATCCCCTCCATCCAGAACTTTCAGTCCAGGATGTTGAGTGATCAGCCAGAGGCCAGGGGTCAGCCCCCATAAACTGACCTAAATGTCCATTTCCCAGTATCCATCCCTTAGGGTTAATAAAATGTTATCTACTTTAGGTTTCCATCTCCCTTTAGATGTAACCTTGGCACCTCTCCCAGGGCTGTCAGCAGGAGCCCCTTGAGGTTCCTAAAGAGCTCCTAGAATAAACCTTGGATTAACCCTGCTAAGAGTCGGCCCCTTCATTTTCTGCTGTTGTTCCAGTGTCTCTTGTGCAGGTGATCAGCTTGGCTGCCTTTGGTACTGTCCTGGGTTGACTATATGATGCTTTTATCCCCA